CAAAATGAGGTCAAGGTCAGATGATACCTGCCAGACAGACATATACAGCTTACAATCCTTCTATACAAAAAATATAATTGACCTATTGCTTATAGTTTAAGAAAAACAGATCAAAACACAAAAACTTAACATTGATCAATGAACCGTGAAAATGAGGTCAAGGTCAAATGAAACCTGCGCGACTGCATATAGATCATAAAATATTTCTATACACCAAAATAGTTGACCTATTGCATATAGTATTAGAAAAAAAGACCAAAACTCAAAAACTTAACTTTGACCACTGAACCATAAAAATGAGGTCAAGGTCAGATGACACCTTCCAGCTGAACATGTACACCTTACAATCATTCCATACATCAAATATAGTAGACCTATTGCATACAGTATAAGAAAAACAGACCAAAACACAAAAACTTAACTATAACCACTGAACCATGAAAATGAGGTCAAGGTCAGATGACACCTGCCAGTTGGACATGTACACCTTACAGTCCTTCCATACACCGAATATACTAGACCTATTGCTTATAGTATCTGAGATATGGACTTGACCACCAAAACATAACCTTGTTCACTGATCCTTGAAATGAGGTCGAGGTCAAGTGAAAACTGTCTGATAGGCATGAGGATCTTGCAAGGTACGCACATACCAAATATAGTTATCCTATTACTTATAATAAGAGAGAATTTAACATTACAAAAAATCTTAACTTTTTTTTCAAGTAGTCACTGAACCATGAAAATGAGGTCAAGGACATTGGACATGTGACTGACAGAAACTTCGTAACATGAATCATCCATATACAAAGTATGAAGCATCCAGGTCTTCCACCTTCTATATTATAAAGCTTTTAAGAAGTTAGCTAACGCCGCCGCCGTAGCCGCCGCCGCCGCCGGATCAATATCCCTATGTCGAGCTTTCTGCGACAAAAGTCGCAGGCTCGACAAAAACTCAGATTTATATCTACAGCTATAACATATATCTAGAATTACTATACGGTATACATCAATAGAAAAAGGTCTAAATGATATTTAAGGCCGGTCTCAAAATATCCCGAGGTAGAAAATTTGTGAATAAATTAAACAGATCCTATCAAAGATCTTCCATCAATACGAAATTCCTTAGATGACCAAATTTTATTTACAACCCAATATACCACAAGAGTGCACACGCTGAAATGTCTCGCCTTCTTTACTAACCACTGATATTATGTTGTTGGTCTTAAATATAAAGCTTAACTACAACTATCAACCTTACAATCATTCAATACACTAAATATAGTTGACCTATTGCTTGTAGTTTCAAAGAAACAGACTTAACCAAAAAACTAAACATTGACCAATGAACCATGAAAATGAGGTCAAGGTCAGATGAACCATTCCAGGCAGACATGTACACCTTACAATCAACCTATGCATTAAATATAGTTGACCTATTGCTTATTATCTAAGAAACAAACTTAACCATGAAAACTTAACATTGACCAATGAACCAACAAAATGAGGTCAAGGTCAGATGATACCTGCCAGACAGACATATACAGCTTACAATCCTTCTATACAAAAAATATAGTTGACCTATTGCTTATAGTTTAAGAAAAACAGACCAAAACACAAAAACTTAACATTGATCAATGAACCGTGAAAATGAGGTCAAGGTCAAATGAAACCTGCGCGACTGCATATAGATCATAAAATATTTCTATACACCAAAAATAGTTGACCTATTGCATATAGTATTAGAAAAAAAGACCAAAACTCAAAAACTTAACTTTGACCACTGAACCATAAAAATGAGGTCAAGGTCAGATGACACCTTCCAGCTGAACATGTACACCTTACAATCATTCCATACATCAAATATAGTAGACCTATTGCATACAGTATAAGAAAAACAGACCAAAACACAAAAACTTAACTATAACCACTGAACCATGAAAATGAGGTCAAGGTCAGATGACACCTGCCAGTTGGACATGTACACCTTACAGTCCTTCCATACACCGAATATACTAGACCTATTGCTTATAGTATCTGAGATATGGACTTGACCACCAAAACATAACCTTGTTCACTGATCCATGAAATGAGGTCGAGGTCAAGTGAAAACTGTCTGATAGGCATGAGGACCTTGCAAGGTACGCACATACCAAATATAGTTATCCTATTACTTATAATAAGAGAGAATTTAACATTACAAAAAATCTTAACTTTTTTTTTCAAGTAGTCACTGAACCATGAAAATGAGGTCAAGGACATTGGACATGTGACTGACAGAAACTTCGTAACATGAATCATCCATATACAAAGTATGAAGCATCCAGGTCTTCCACCTTCTATATTATAAAGCTTTTAAGAAGTTAGCTAACGCCGCCGCCGTAGCCGCCGCCGCCGCCGGATCAATATCCCTATGTCGAGCTTTCTGCGACAAAAGTCGCAGGCTCGACAAAAACTCAGATTTATATCTACAGCTATGACGTTAAAAGTACGGATAATTGTTTGATTTTAGAAGGACGGAATGGGCCAAAAAAGTATACATGATACCAAATAATTTTGAATCTTGCCAACAATACTAACTCAAGTAAAAACTTCAAGTACATGTAACTATACGTACACGTGCAACAGTCAACATCAAGGTCACTCTTGTAATACATGTACCAAGGCCACTCTTGTAATACATGTATCCGTAATGACACAATGTGCATGTACAACAGTAAAACTTCAAGGCCACTCTTGTACATGTAATACATGTAACCGTAATGACACAATGTACATGTACAACAGTCAACACCAAAACCACTCTTGTAATACATGTATCCGTAATGACACAATGTGCATGTATGACAGTCAACATCAAGGTCACTCTTGTAGTACATGAATCTGTAATGACACGATGTACATGTACAACAGTCAACATCAAGGTCACTCTTGTAGTACATGTATCTGTAATGACACACTGTACATGTACAACAGTCAACAACAAGGCCATTCTTGTAATACGTGTATCCGTAATGACACAATTTACATGTACAACAGTCAACATCAAGACCACTCTTGTAATACATGTATCCGTAATGACACAATGTACATGTACAACAGTCAACATCAAGGTCACTCTTGTAGTACATGTATCTGTAATGACACACAGTACATGTACAACAGTCAGCAACAAGGTCACTCTTGTAATACGTGTATCCGTAATGACACAATTAACATGTACTGGGAGAGAGTACACTAAAACAATGAATCCTATTCTAAGCAGTGTTTCAGTAATGACTAAAATGTTTACATTGTGATACAATTTTCTTCACAATACGATTATTTTAAAAAATAGTTTATCGTCAATAACTTTTTATTCCCAGTTTTGCATATACGCTTAAAGTCAAATCCCCATTTAACATGTATGCATATCATTAGAACTATCTCATATATAATGAAAAAACCACACGCCATATTTGCAATAAAAAAAAATCGAAATCTCAACAATCGGTTCCTTTTTTAATTTTGAAAATCAAACTTCTGTTTATTTGTTTCCATTCAATAAATTGACTACATACAAATCAACTGTAAAAAAAAGTTCTAGATTGCAGTAGGTAAGTTAAGCATAGACTTTATACAGACATCAACAGACGAACAGACATCATCTTATTTTTATAAACAAGGTAGAATGGTCCCTCGAGTAGAGAATAAATTGAAAAGAAAATAGACTTAAAACTATATGTAAATGACAACCTTGTTATGTTGTATTTGAATATAAAAACACAATTCGACAAATAAAGTGATCGTACAAAAGACGAAAATATGTAAAGGATTTAAAGGCCACAGTGTAATTTAATATTTATAATTGACATCTTACTGAACTTAGTGTTTAACTTAACAGGTAAAAGTTGTTTTGAATTTTGTTAAAATACAATACAAATAGTCTGGTCGATATGCTTTGGCACATCTCTTTTATTTTTACATTAAATAAAGTCCTTCAATACAGATTTTTTTATTAGAACCAAAACAATTTTACAACAGACAAGAGACGATTTAATTTCAAAATGATAGTTCCTTCATTTACTTATTGTACCACTAAATAACTAATCTGGTGTATGTCTTTAAGTGGAGGTGCAATGCATGCATATCTATGATTCTTTGTCCTGATTTGGATTTACTTTCGGTCCTTTTTGGTTTTATCAACTCTTCAACGTCTTAATTACGTTTTGGATTCTCAAATATGTTGGCCTCTAGCATCATTGAAGAGACATTAAATGCGAAATGCGCATCGTGTGCAATTAAATTGGTACCACTTGTTTTAATGTCTACCACTGGGTCGATATCTCTGCTGGTGGACTGTTAGTCCCCGAGGGTATCTATAGCACAGTAGCTAGCCCTCCGATATTGGCATGAGAATATTGATATTGTTCTATTTAAGTTTTCTGTTATAAAATTAGAAATCATAGCAAAGCTCTAATTCCTTGTCAGGGTTTGGCTATAGTTTTGGTCCTTTTTGGTTTCGTCAGCTATTGAGTCAGGTTTATGACTTTTAAATATTTTGACATCGAACATCAATGAAGATACACTAAGTGTCGAAATGCGCAGTTATTACTTCAAGTCGACCTATCATGACTAAGTAGACCCTCTTATAGTAATTTACAAATTAATACACATTAGAAAATTTCATAGATCAAGGGTCCAGCCAGAGGAATACTGCTGATCATTTTCAAAATAAAGGTCTATAATCTATAATCAAATGGTCCCAGTAGTGAAGTCGGACTTCTCACAAATTTGGAACCTATATTCCTTGCAGAGGCACTAGTACTCGGTAAGCGGTTATAAAACATTTTTTAATCAATGTATATTAAATTTGTTTTCCGTTTTTCCTGTCTATATGTATTATATTGTTAATGTTGAAACTAAGATTTGTATGTTTACTGGCAATGTGCAATATAAATATACTATCCATACCTGTATACTGACAAAACTGAAAATTGTTTGATTTTCTAAACACCTACCTTTATAGTCGTATTAGTACACATTCAGATCATATAAAACTATGGTAACATTTTATTTCGCACTATTTTGCACTAAATTTGGCTTATCTCCCCTGGTACGTTAGAATATAAGTTATCTACGTTCATATCCGTAGATATGGATATTTTAACACCCTGAAGTATCCAAGTACACCCTGAGGCGCAGCCAAAGGGTGTATAGGGTACTAAAGGGTGTTAAAATATCCATATCTACGGATATGAACGTAGATAACGAATTTATCCCCGGTCTTAGTCTAAATCTGACGATTTTTAGAGAAATTCGACCACAAAGTTTAACGTGAAAGCAACGTTTTTTTCATTTTTTAAATATCTTTTATTTAAATTTGGGAATTTGACATATTTTTAACGGGGTGTAGGGTACAACCTTTGGTAGAACCCTACATGTAGACAAATATAAGACGTTTTTAAACTAGAGACAGAGAAACTGAAATGGGTCGAATTTGGCGCGCAATGTTGTGACAGTTACATCATAAACGGTGTGACGTCAACGTGTGTCATTTGCATAGCTAGGTCAGTAGTACCATTCATTGACAATGTGGCTGCATAGTGATGCATTTACCAAAATAATATAAATACTACTGAACATAATGCATAAAGCACCGAACATATTAAACAATCAACATCAGAAGACAGTCATGGCGTTCCATATGAAACTTATCAATCAAACAAAATGTAACACTTTCAATTGAACAGTTAACGATGATATACTCATTCTACACTTTTGGAATTTTCGTTCCTCTTTGCTCAACTTCGTCCTTGATTTTGCCTTTTAACTTTTTTTTATTCCAGCTCACTGATGAGTCCTTTGTAGACGAAACGCCCGTCTGAGGTACACAATTATAAGCGTGGTGTCTTTGGTATTTTTTTTGCATGCCACTTATTAATTACATTTTATCATTGAATATAAGAAGAACAATATGCATCGTATTTCGTTTACTTTGATGCATAATCTATCATAACTTGCCAAAAGAAAAAGATTTATAGAATTGATTTTGGGAATGAAATATTCCCGTCCCAAACCAAAATTCATTTGTTGGTAGGTCGTCTTGCCCATTTTGCCATATTAGTTATTATAATTTCTTGTTGTCGTTATGAAATTTTTCCCCTTTTGTCCCCTTGACAATAACTTAAGAAATTTCAAACAAACTTGGCCTGAATGTTCCTAGTCGTTCTCTGCTAATCAACCAACATGGCCACCATGGCTGAAATAGAACATAGTTGTAAAATACAAGTATTTGTCTAAGGTCTTGAAATCATGATATGTAGAGTATTCGAACAAGGCTGAAAATGTTGATGATGGCAAGATTCCAGCCACACCTATAACAATTATCAGAATACTGTTTATCTTAATAACTTTCAAATTAAGGGAAAAGTCCATATTCCTCCATGAAGGATATCAAAATTAACATTAAAGGAGTCCATAACCTATCAAAAAAACATAAACCTCATAAAGCCACTTGTCCTTATTCAATACTATCATTTATACTGAAAGCAGCTGCAGATGAACTTGCTTCAATTCTAGATCTTACAGGGCTGTACCAAACATCACAAATTTAAACACTGGTGAAGTTCCAAAAGATTAGAGAGATGCACATGTAGTTCCGCTTTAAAAAAAAAATAGAACGGAATTTTTTAGCTTCCAATTACAGACGTGTATATCTTACCTCCATCACATGTCAGGTCTTCGAATACATTGTACAGAGAAACATAATGAACCAATTGGGCATAAATGCAATTATTACTAAGTTAAACGCATAACACGAATTCTGCATAAGACAATCATCATAACCATACACGACATCGCATGAAAAATTGAAAAGACGCTGTCAAGTATATCATCATTTTAGATTTTGCAAAAGTGCCACATCACCGCCTACGTCACAAGTTAGAATAATACCCTAAAGCAAAAAGGTGTATTAGCTCCTTCCCCACAGAACAGAAATCAGAGCGTTCTATATATACGTGAGGGAGTTGTCTCGACGCAAATGCCAGTACTCTCTTGTATACCTCAGTTTTCAACCTTTGGACCATTACTACTACTGGACTACATCAATCCAATGACATGCTAGGAACAGCAACTTCGTCATACCAAATTCTTTGCCGATGACAACCTTTTTCTTCAAACCACCACAAACCAAGCCTTGTACCGAGAGATTTAACATTACCGGAATAATAGGAAAACAAATGACAAATAAATTTGAACGCCAAAAATGCATTGTAATACTAATATCACAGAAACATCAACCGGTGATACAATTAACATACAAACTCAAAAGATAATAGACACTTAGGAAACTATCATTGGCGTTTTTCGATATTATGCAAGAACACATAAATATTACAATTATCAGCAATTGTGTCTAGCTATAAATATTTGTTTACATTTAATAGGTACGAACACATAAATAATAAATCTCTCATTTAAAGTGTGCAAATTAGACTGTGGTTCATAAGTGTTTCTCGTTTCTCGTTTTTTCATATAAATTTGACCGTTCGTTTTCCTGTTTCAATGGTTTTACACTAGTCATTTTTGGGGCCCTTTATAGCTTGCTGTTTGGTGTGAGCCAAGGCTCCGTGTTGAAGGCCGTACTTTGACCTATGATGGTTTACTTTTACAAATTGTGATTTGGATGGAGAGTTGTCTCATTGGTACTCGTACCACATATTCTTATATCTATTTGAATTCCCTATGTGTCTTTAAACTAAGCATATTATATAAGTAAATACATGCATTTTTAGAATTGTGATGGATAATTGGGTTCCTTAGATTGCCCAGCTTCTTTTCTATTGTCGGTTATAATTTGTAGGCTAACAATCATTAATTGCTTTTTTTCTTCTTTTTGTATATGTTGTTGTTCTTTGTTTCTTTTTCTTGTATCAAAAGCACCTTTTTAGTTACTTTATTTTCCCTGATGATAAAATCAACATCGATAAGGACACAGAGGAGATTTACAATGTTTAAAAAAGAATCTTAGATAAAATGGGTCATAACTTTTTACAATATAAATTTTCTCGGGTAAGGAATAAATATTCCAATTGTTTATCTCTTATTATCCACTTTAATGTATTCAGGGATATACTATACCAGCAGATATTATTTAAAGGATCATTTGTCAGCATGGATATATCCGATTGAGGGATTTATCTTTTTGACATATTTTGAGTGCAGATTGGTGGAGAAGGTGTGTTGAAGTGTTCGATTTGTCAAATTTTGTCAATTTTTAAATGAATGTTGATAGCATGAATGTCAGTAACAACGCGATGTCTTCGGAAGGATGATAGCAACGACATCGATAACAGTTACATAACCTTAAAATCAAATTTATCGAATTCCCAATGCTTTTAAATTGTTCAAACCAAGAATTAAATTGTATAAAAAGAAAGCTAATTAAACAACTGTGCACCCAGAGACCAAATTACGTAATATGTCTGTTGTAAATAATTTGTTGTTTCTAAACAATGAGTTCATATAAAATGTGTAGATGTGTATAATACACAGTAATTCATTATTTGTCCAAACCACAGCAATAATCTATATGTGTCTTCCAAGATTGAATGATTGGTTGCTTGTTGTTTGCCAATTAACGTCCACTGTCAAATAATAGATGCATATATAAAGGACGAGAAAAACTTAACAGTTAAAAAAAATGATAGGTTCTATACAAAGAGGGTAGAACGGGATGAAGGTTCTGAAATTCGATCTACCACCAAAAATTAAAGCTAACGTATATTGGACAATGGCAGAAATTTTGACAAACTGGTTATACGAAACCCTCAGAGAGTTATAGGAAAGGTTATTTAAAAGAGGGGCGAAAGATACCAGAGGGACATTCAAACTCATAAATCGAAAATAAACTGACAACGCCATGGCTAAAAAATAAAAAGACAAACAGATAAACAATAGTACACAAAACACAATATAGAAAACTAAAGACTAAGCAACACGAACCCCACCAAAAACTGGGGGTGATCTCAGGTGTTCCGGAAGGGTAAGCAGATCCTGCTCCACATGTGGCACCCGTCGTGTTGCTCATGTTAGTACAAACCTGGTAAATAGTCTAATTCGATGGGTCACATTCGTGAAATGGGAACGGGATTGTAGTTACGGCATTAAGAACATATCCTCTATCATCTGTGAAACGGATATTCCATAACGGTCAACCAACTCGTGATGACGTCCATAAAATTTACAATATGATTTCAACTTCACCATTTGGAACTCTTGGTTTAATAGCTTCCTTGTGAGCAGCAACCTCTTTCAAGGAAATTATGATAGGCAATACAAGCCCGGGAATATCGTATCAATAAGGAGATATATACTCCGTATGCAGGCGCTGCGGTAAAGTTGCTACATAGAAGTGGAAAGTTCACAATTGGGAAGCTGAAATCATCTCTTTTGTCGTAAAGTTTTGTTTTCAACCGACCCTTATTGTCAATTTTTAGATGTAAGTCAAGATATGAGGCAGACTTAACTGTATCTGTTGTATCCTTTATCTCTAGTTCGATGGGATAGATGCGTTCAACAGTCACCAAATTTTGGATTATTTAGTGAGAGAACATCATCTATATAGCGGAAAGTAAAGTCAAAGGATACGGCTAACTTCTTTTCTTTCCTGTTCCTGTATGAAGTCAGCCTCATAATAAAAAAGTAACAAGTCGGCAAGAAGAGGGGCACAGTTGGTTCCCATGGGAATGCCGATAGTTTGTTGAAAAACACGTCCTCCAAACGTAACAAATATGTTGTCAATCAAGAAATCAAGCATCTTGATAATGTCAGTTTCAGAGAATTTTTTGTTTGAATCAGAGTGATTTTTCACAAAGTAAGATTTATCCCTCCCTTAGACAAGATACTTGTATCTACGTTGGCCATTCTTTTTTATGAAACAAAGCTATACCAACTTTCAATTTGTCTTTTAGTTTGGAATGGGGAATACTTGTGAAAAGTATTGAAAAGTCAAAATGTTTTAATACTGTTGCAA